CTCCAGTCTACCTCCGATGGGAGCACCTCCAATTCACATTCTGTTCAAAGTTTCTCTTTTTGCTTGCTTTTGCCATTACTTTTTCGCTTGGTTTTGCTAAAGTAGAGTCATTAGCATATTCAGGAGGCAGGGAAGGGTTTTGCGCTCGTGCAAAGGCGTACAGTTTCACGTTCATTTGGATGTACAAAGAGAATATGCATGGGATTTGGCGTACGCAGTGTTTCAAACATCTGATTTTTTTACTGCGTACGCACATTTACAGCTTTGTGTGTACGCAATGTTTTAGTATGATTTCAATGCAAGTCTTTGTACATGAAGCCCCAAGTCACTGTGGATGGATGGAAGTCGGTAGAGGACATGTTATATACAGGATTAAGATCCCATTGTTTGGCTACACGATTCTTGGAGGAAATACACTCTTTTTTTGCCTGAACAGTATAGAGCGATTTTACAAAAATAAATAAACAATAAACTAAAAATTTCCGACCCAATTTTCCTTTGAGAGATCAATGGAGGTCCCTGTATAAGTCTCCTCTTGAGAGAAAAGAACTGGAGATTTGCAGTGGAGACTTGTTCATGGGGTGATAGCTACGGCAAACATGTGCCTCATCCTAATCCAACAGTAAGAGGGGAGTGTGTTTTTTTGTTAAAGAAGAGAATGTAGAACATTTGTTTTGAAGTTGTATACGACTGGATAACCTTTTTTAATGTTTTAAAAGAAGGGCGACACAGTGGCACAGTGGGTAGCACGTTCGCCTCACAGCTAGAAGGTCGCTGGTTCGATCCTCGGGTCAGTTGGTGTTTCTGTGTGGAGTTTGCATGTTCTCCCTGCGTTCACGTGGGTTTCCTCCAGGTACTCCGGTTTCCCCCACAGTCCAAAGACATGCGGTACAGGTGAATTGGGTAGGCTAAAGTGTCTGTAGTGTGTGTGTGTGTGTGTGTGTGCGTGTGTGTGCGTGTGTGTGGATGTTTCCCAGAGATGGGTTGTGGCTGGAAGGGCCTCCGCTGCGTAAAAACATGCTGGATAAGTTGCCGGTTCATTCCGCTGTGGCGACCCCAGATTAATAAAGGGACTAAGCCGACAAGAAAATAAATGAATGATGTTTTAAAAGACTGGTTTAGAGGTTTTGGTGAAACCTTTTCTGAAAGTATTTTTATAGGGGGAGTAAAGTACAAAATGCCAAAAAAGATAATATTTACTCTTTTAAATTATGTTATTGGTACAGCAAAACTGTCAATTTGGAAAACTAGAAAAAACAGAATATCAGGTGTTGGTGGAATAGATCCAGTGATAATGTTGAAAGGTTTAATCGCAAATAGATTGAAAATTGTATTTAGCTTCTATGTATTGGTGGGAGATCTAATAACATTTGAAGAAAAGTGGTCTCTAGGAAGGATTCTATTTTGTGTTTATGAAGGTCAGCTTGTACTCAATTTATAAAAATAATAATAAGGTAGTTGGTGCTAATCTTTATTTGGTTTTATAATAGACTAAAAGATTACTGAAATATGTTATGAATGAACATTTAATGGACTAAAAATGTTTTGCTAAAAATTGTATTTAACAAAGCTGTTGTAAAACTCTCTCTCTCTCTCTCTCTCTCTCTCCCTCCCTCCCTCCCTCTCTTTCCCTCCCTCCCACTCTTTCCCTCCCTCCCTCTTTCTCCCTCCCTCTCCCTCCCTCTCT